TGACATGTAACTTTACAATGATACAGCTGTGTCTCTGACATGATATGTGGCCCTTCTAATGGACTATGATGATGTGTATCGGGCCATCTTATGCAGTGTGAAATTGCACAATGGGACCAGTTGCACTATGGTGCCTATTGCACACTAGAACTCTACCCACAATGGGCATGCTGCTGCTTCTGCTTGCATAATGGTCCCAAAGACGTTGCTATCTCTCTGCTTCACTTCTGAGAATTCCAGAGGATGTGCATTATCACAGTTCACTTTTATGTACTCTCATAAATCAGTTTACGATGAAGTAAATACTTAAGAGGATGACTGCCATGGTTCAGGCACTCAAAGAAAAGGAGCTGGCAAAGTGACCAAGAGGATGGAAATACAACAAATCTGAGTTCTAGTGTGAATTCTTTTCAATGTCTCACTCTTTGTAATGCTGGAAATTTGGGGACTGAAGGAAAATTTAATTAGATGGGCAGAATTCTAATGTTGAGGGACCCCATCATCCAAATAAGAACACCCAACAGTGTGTGTGTGTGTGTGTGTGTGTGTGTGTGTATGTTAACTGCTTTTAGGTTGACTGTGGATGAGCGACCGCCAAGTCACCATGTCATCAATAGCCCTGCTCAGGTCTTGCAGACTCAGGGCAGCTGTGGCATACTTTCTTATGATATGGCCAAAGTATGATGACCTCCTCTTAGGCATCTTAGTTTCTAGGGAGATTTCAGGTCAGATTTGCCCTAGGATCCAATTATTAATATCTTTTTAGATACTACCAACCTCCTGTTCTTGGTGCTGTTTTGCATTTTCTCTTTTATTTCCACAACACAGGTGATTAACTTAGGGGATGGTTGGAGAACACATGGTCCTGCAGGTGTTGATGGACTGCAGCGCCGACTATCACCGACCAGTGCAGACAGTCGGGAGGACTCAGATGGCTGGGATCAGGTGAAGAAAGAAGGAACAGTCAGGACTACTGGACACTACTTGCCACACCAGTTCCTGTCATGGAAGGAGGAAGAATGAGGAACTCAATGGGGGCAGCACTAAGCAGGGAGTGACACCACTGCTCTCCAAGCACCTGCCTTTTGGCAGAAATGTGCAATCGTGTTTGCCTACATCCCTTTCAAATATTGAAGAGATAGTGTGGGTGGGGCGAAGATCAGTGGGAGGAGAAAAGAGAGGTTCCAAGTTTCTTTTAAAAATATAAATTTAAATTGTGTACTTTTCAAACTTTAAAAAAAAAACTTTTAAAAAATATTCTTTTTAAAATTTTCTTTAAAACCATTGCATCTCACCAAATTTTCACTTTAATCATATGAAACTATGCACATGTAAATACATTGAGGCTGTATGTATGATATTGTAACTTAAAGGTATACTTTTAATTATGCTACTTGTTTAGGTCACAACTATTGCCATTCCATTCAGTGATATATGGGAATTACGATTCAGGAGTAACATTAGTACAAAAAACATTACTAAAGATTCTGCATGGTTTGGTATGGGAGGAGGTCAATGAGGGGGTTACCACACTGGGAGATGCCAACCCTAATGTTGCCAGTGGCCCCACCAGTCCCTGCCATGGAACTAGGAAGAATGAGGAATACAATGGGAGCCCACCAAAAAGAAGGACCTTTCTCTTTCTCTCTTTTTCTCAGAGGCATGCAAAGGCCAACAGAACTTCCACCACTGTTGCTGACTTCTTTTGCACTTCTTTCCAATACAGGAAGGGTTAGGTTTGTAGGGACAGACTGAGGTTGGGGAATCCATATTTCTCATCATTGCACAGCTAGAAGTATTTCACAGGTGTGACCAGGTAACATCAGAATGTGGTCAAAATGGCAGCTGGGAGAGGCTGCAACTGTTTTTCTCTGAGCCTTGAGTCTGCTCCTTCCTTTCCTTTTCTGAGTTAATTGAATGCGAACTGCTTTTACACTTTCAACTCAGTATGCAGCAACAGAAATTAAGGAGATTATCACATTGGTGATTAAAGCAACTTACCTCTCCTGGCCAAAATTTTAAATCAGGCAACATCCCTGCTCCCAGGGGCACTCAGTGTGCCTCTTTTCGAAACCGGGAGTTTTCCGGGTTAAGAAAATGGCTGCCAGAGTGCTCCTGGGACCAGGGATGGACCCGGGTGGCAGATTCGGTGGCAAAATCCCTGCAATAAGGTCCGGATGCTGGCTGATAAAATTTAAGCTAGGAGAGGTAAGTCGCTTTAATAAGCTCCTAAGCTGCGAAGAAAGGTGGAAATGAGAGGAGAGGATCAATTGGGAGAGCCATTGCCAAATTGGGACAACTGGAGGGTATGAGAATAAGAGCATTGCCTCCCAAATAAGGAATCAATCCCTACATTTTTAGCATTGCAGTTGGGCATTTAGAAATACAGATTAGCCTTCCAAAGAAAAGAAGCTAGCAGAATTCTGCAAAACCCCACTACTAACACTTCATGAACTTACTAAAATATTATACATGCACAAGGAAGCCTTTCCAGACAAGCACACTTTGTATGCTGCAGGACTCACCTTTGGTGTATCTATAGCAGTGTGTGAAAATTCATTCCCAGCTTGGACACATATGTTAATGCCACACAAGTGTTTAATGTTTCACCAGAGAAAAGCTAGTCATCCTGGCTTTGGAAAGTAACATATTTAAAGGAATTTCAAGTGGGCAGTTTTTCTGCAAATCTGCAGAGAAATCACAACCCATTAGGCTTCATTAACAGTTCAAAGCAGTAGGAAGGAATGACTTGTACAATATACATTTATTTCCTAGTCACGGTTATTTAGTTTACACAACTATTTTGCATGCAGATAACACTGTATTTTAGGTTGGTTTGCTTTTTTGGAAGCTTCGCAACATACTTCCAAAGTAAAATGAATTAATTGTGGGTTATTTTTGCCATTACTTATGAAAACATTGTCCACAGAAGTCTCTTCTGTAGTGACACATGAGCTTTCTTGCTTTCAACACCCCCATTTTTATCTCTTTCTCTCCCTGATGAAAATTGTCTGGCTACACCCCAGGGGAGGGAGCAGAGATGTGTGTTCCAGCACTGAAGAGCAAGAATGGGCCATATTGGAGATGTGAGAAACTGAATACCAAGAAGGCACCAGATCACATCTAATCTCATTTGCCAAGCAGGATCAGGTCTAGATTTGCCAGGTCAAAACTCTCCCAAACCCTGAGTCTTCAGGGCCCAAACCTGAGACCCCGGGATGATCCCATTGTGAATAATAATAATAATAATAATAATAATAATAATAATAATAATAATAATAATAATAATTTTATAGCCACCCCTCTGCTAAGCAGTCGGGGTGGGTTACAGCATAATTAAAACATGAACAAGTTAAAACAACCAATCCCTGTACCCTAACCCTCCCACCCCTTAAAACTAGATTAAACTGACAATTACATTAAAATACATTATGCAAGAACACTATAAAAACAAAACAGAATTATGGGCAGCATGCACAGTTTTAGTAGATCAGATTGAAATCACAGGGGAAAGCTCCTAGTGATGTCATAAGGGTGATGTCATGAGGTGCAGCCCCTTGTGATATCACTAAACATGGTAGATTAAGCATCAACTGCAG